CATCTCCTTCTCTCCCTATTTCCTTTCCATTTTGCTCATTTTAATTAAAGAGAGACAAAATTGATGATCTTAGCATTCAAGGATAGTGATAGCTCTTGAAAGTTAGCACACACACACACACACACACACACACAATCTCTCAAATCTAAACACTTTTAGAAACATTTATAAACCACACAAAGTGCTTCTGGTCCAAGAACTTTCTGTGCTCAAATCACACAGGGCTATGTGAGGCATGGTATACAACATGACCTTGACTTTTTCCTAAGTTGTGGGAACCATTAATAAAGAGGTTCAAGATGTAAAAGGAGAAGTGTTAAGGATGGACTTAATAAAAAGAAACCCACATTGACTGCTTTGTGGAGAAACAAGTCCATCCACACAAACGTGGATATAGTCAGACCTGTTAAAAGAGTGTGATGTAGAATATAATGATACAGGAAATGTTGAAAACTGACAGAAATATGAAAGCTTTAAAAATTGCATTGAAAAAATTTGTTGATATTCTGAGTTATAATATGAAAAGAAAGAGCAAAGTCATGTGTGGATAGATTGTAGAAAGCAGTAAACTGGAATTGTACTTATAGGAAGAAAATGATGGGAATAATTGTAAGAGCTGTGGGTTGTATTCCGCCACCCAGCTCCCGCCACTGGCTACCTTTACCCGAAATAACAACACACAAATTGTATTCATTTAAACACTGCTTGGCCTATTAGCTCTAGCCTCTTAATGGCTAATTCTCACAATCTTGCCTAACCCATATTTAGTAATCTGTGTAGCACCAGTCTTACTGGGAAAGATTCAGCATGTCTGACCTGGTGGCTGGCTGCATCGTGTCTGCCCGGGAGAGGAGAGCATGGCGTCTGAGCTCACTTCCTCTTCCTCCCAGCATTCTGTTCTGTTTACTCCACCCACCTATGTTCTAACCCATCAGGCCAAGCAGTTTCTTTATTACTTAACCAATGAAATCATCAGATTGATATATGACACTCCCACATCAGGGAATATAAAAATTTTGGAGGGCAAATGAATCAAGAATATGGCTTTAAGGGCTCAGAGGTTAAGAGCATTGCCTGCTCTTCCAAAGGTCCTGAGTTCAATTCCCAGTAACCACATGGTGGCTCACAACCATCTGTAATGGGGTCTGGTGTATTCTTCTGGCTGGCAGGCATACACACAGACAGAATATTGTATACATAATAAATAAATATTTAAAAAAAAGAATATGGCTTTAAAATGATCAATTATGGGATGTCTGATATATATCTAAAGAAAAGTGTCCAGTATTTGGTTTGCGAATCCAGAGTGCAAAGGGAAGAATTATTGCATTATATAAATATGTGATTTATAATCAAAATGCATTTGGTTTGGTGAGATCTTGTGCAGATACACATGAGAAATCTAGATGCAAGACTAGTGCTGCAACAACATGGTCCAAGGTTTAAAAGTCAAGAGTGTAAGAGGGAATTAGAAAGGGTGGCTGAGATTTGTAACAGAGAGTGATCGTAGGCACTGCTGGTGTTGAAAAAGAGGCTGGAAAATGAATTAATAAACACAGAACTCACATGACTTTGTCAAGAGAAATAACACTTGTTTGAAGCTGAATTTGGGAATGATCAGGTGAGAGCAGAATAAGAAGTGGAACTAGAGAGAAGAAGTAAATCTTGTAAGAAATGTCATCAAGGGGTAGATATAGGATGGCAATTTTCTATTTTCTGGAAGTATTACAAGTCTAAGGGTAGTGTTATTTGTTAAAGACAAATGAAGACATTGTACATTCTCATGGGAATCAACTAATGAAGATGGGGAACCTCTGAGATAGAGGGTTACTTTAGGTATCCTGTATCTTTGGGCTCTGTGGAAAGGCTGGTGTTGCTTGCTTCAGCCATTTTAGCATAACTGAAAGTGTAACACATGCATGCAAATGTAATGGCATGATTAATTTACTGCAGGAGTGGCGTGAAAATTTCCTGCAATTACTTCTAATTTCTCAGTGAGTAAAAGGATTATCATTGGCAGTAGAGAAAGGGGATTGGGAGATTTGAGGAGCTGAAAGACTGTAAAACAATCACCCAAATAGGTGTTTAATCCTCACAACAGCAGCAGAATAAGAAATGTCACCCTCTAAGATGTCAGTACATGAGAATACTCATGCACACACCTGAAGCAAGTATCTTTGGACAACCCCCTTACTTCACTGATATTCACTTCAATTTTGTTCACAGAAAGAAGGTAGTGACTCAGCAGCCAATCTCATGACACGCTAATGGGTTACGGTGTGCTGTTTGAAAAACACTCATCCAGAAAAACTGAAGAGGAAATTGTCTAAAGACATATAATAGGACGTCTGTGCAGCCAAACAGACTACTTCAGAATAAAATGGAAAATGAGAGCAACCATCAGGAGCGAACCCGGAACTGTCACACACGCCCCTCCTCTGCTTTGCTCTCCTGCTGAGAGCACCATTTATTTTTAAGGCCCACAGCTGCCAGTAATGGACTTGCGATGCTTCATTTTTCTTTCCATAACCTGTTTTTGTCACCTTTTTCATTGAATGGATCATGATCACAAAATTTAAGTGATTTCACCTCTGAATTCTTACTAGCATCTATTTGTTTCTATTCTGTTCCTATAATTTTAACTATAGTTCAAGCCCCTTTTTGCCTTTTTCCTAATCTTATAGCTTGTTTTTTTATTATGACAATAATGGATAACCACAAGAAGTTGTCTTAAAATGCAAATTATTTTTTAAATATGTGAACCAAAATGTCACTTTTAGAGAGATTTCTAACTTAACTTGTTGATATAAATATATATATTTCCAGTCCTTATGTTATTCAATATTCTCTGTAATTCTTCCTATATATTTGGACTCATGCAATATAACCCTGCCGTGTGATACAACTTGCCTTTAAAATAATGCACTACACATTTTGACCACATCAGAATGTGTTTAGCCAAGTTGGTGTTGATGGCAGCTGCCATGGTATCCCACCTATGGTGTTTCCCTGGAAACATTGTGTAGACTCTGTATAGTCACAGGCATGTACTCTTCTGTACTCTTCAGATTAGAGACTACAGGGAGCCTAATTTTCCAAAGCCTCCAAGTTGCTGTTTTAAAAGTCCTCATTTCGGAGCTGGAGAGATGGCTCAGAGGTTAAGAGCATTGCCTGTTCTTCCAAAGGTCCTGAGTTCAATTCCCAGTAACCACATGGTGGCTCACAACCATCTGTAATGGGGTCTGGTGCCCTCTTCTGGCCTGCAGGCATACACACAGAATATTGTATACATAATAAATAAATAAATATTAAAAAAATCCTCATTTCTTATACGTCGATCACTGAGTATACTGGAAATTCCATCAATCACTGAATATACTAGAAAGGAACTTAGGCCAATGTTTGTAATACTGAGTTTCTTCTAATGGCCTTTGGTTAAAGGTCTCTTGGAAGAACTGTAAAAGTTTCCATGGATTTATGAATTTCCATGAAACAACTCACAAACACTTTTCTTTCTCTCCCTGAAAACCAGACTTGACAGAAGGCTAATGTAAGACTATCTTATAGGTTTTAAGACTTCTCTCTAAGAATCAAAACACAACTCTTTCTCCCATGTTTTTTTTGAAGGCCTTTCAGCTTTCCCAAGTTTCTTGTACACGAATTTCTTTTATCCGTGTCTCAGATGACTCAAATTAACCATAGAGCTTCATGTGGTTTTCAGGTCAGTCTGCTGATTGTTCAATGTTTTGAACATTTCTCTACTGGATCCTTGGGAGACATTTCCTTTTCCCATGCCCATGGTTACTTAAGCTGTCTGTCCCCTGTCCCTTATATTGACACACTGCTATTTCCTGTTTTTTTCTTAGCCATCAAATAATTCTCTAGTTGATTTCAATATCTGTTCACCAAACCTCTCCCCTTCCCTCCAACATTAAAAACCAACCAACCAGCTAATCAACCTGCCAACAACAAAGAAAAAAAAAAACCCAACCGAAAACAAACCAAAACCAAAACCAACAACAAAACCCTTTGCTCAGTAGGCAGTGTCCATTGTTCCGGATCCCTTCTTGCCTGTTTCTGTTCCACTGTTCTTTCTTTCCGAATTCTAAACATCATAAAAATGCATTTGATGAGAGGTTTTCCTTCTTGGTTATGTTGACAGGAAGGTTATTCAACGCTGTGGTTACAGTCTGGTATAGAGTTTAAAGCCAAACCAACCTGCTTTGTTATATTGTAGTTAATCTTTTAAAGATATAATAATAATAATAACAACAAAACAAACCCAGATCACCCAACTTTAGATAGTATATGACTGGGAAACACTGAAACAGAAAAAAAAAAACAACTGCATTTAATTTTTTTTTTGTGTTTAATTAAAAGACTTCTCAGAACCCTTAAAATGTGAATCCACTGAGCTGCCCAACACGACCATTGATACTTGATGTAGCTAATACTGAATTTGACAAGAAAGCTTTAAAAAAAAAAACTAGGTCATTGCCATACAATGTCATTTTTGGAGCACACTGGGAAAACAGAATAGCCAAAAAATTTGCATGTGTGATTTGCATAGTATTCTACATCTTCTCTGTCTTGTGGCTATTTATATATTATATATTTTCCTGACTGAACATTACATGTAAGATCTTGAAGACAGTACAGATTGTTGAAAATCATAGAATTTCAGCTGAAGTTCATGGTTAGGAACAACATTTGATAATATTTTAAACGCATGGTCTTGTGTCTAATTTCAGGGTTTTGTTTTCCATCCTTTTCATTTCATAGTATGCTGTGCTTTCTTTTAGGCTGGGAAAATATTAGTATTTTGGTGTTGGCAGAAAGCTGTGGTTAACACCGGGCAAACATATTATCTCTACAAAACACTGGCAGAACAGTCCAAAAAGGAGAATGTAAAGACGGAGTTGAATTTTAAGGGCAGGAAAACCTGCGACTGCTAACTCCAGGTTTTGGGACCCGCTAGGGTACTGGAAAGGCAGACTGCCTTAGTGCTTGTTCTCACTTCCTAGGGTGTGCTTGTCAAAAAGATACTCCGCCAGGCCAGCAGCTGGAGCCCCCATGGTGATCAAGTTGTGCACATGGTCACCTAATTCTTTAATAGACTTCACCTGCTCATTCAGGTAGTGCGTTTCCAGAAAGTCGCACAAATGAGGATCTCCTTTTTCAGATGCAAGAGTATGCAAGTCCAGCAGTGACTGGTTCACACTCTTCTCCAGGAGCAGAGCACATTCCATGGCCCGCAGTCCACTTTCCCAGTCATCTCGGTCTGGCTTCTTGATATCCTGGAGGGAGATTCGGCCTCCGCGCTGGTTCTGAAGCCTCAAAAGCTTCTCCGCGTGTTCCCTCTCCTCCAGGGACTGGTGAAGGAAATACTTGGAGAAGTTGTACAAGGCCACATCATCTCTGGAGAAATAGTAGGCCATGGACAGGTACACGTAGGACGCATAAAGCTCCATGTTGATTTGGCGGTTGATGGCGGCCTCGCAGTCTGGGTGGAAGTTTTGGCAAACCCTGGCAGGTCCAGCAGAGCCCTTGGAGGAGGCCGCCGAGGCCAGCAGACGTTGAGGGGAAGAGACTGGTAGGGGACCTAAAGGATACCCGGAGGCCAAACACTGTGGGACGGTACATCTGTGTAGCACACGGGGCAGGGACCTCAGTGCAGGGCCCATGTGCCTGGAGAAAAACCAGAAGCAGGACAGCATGACTCCTCTTGTTTGAAAGAAGGGGAATCTGAGGCAAGAAAACTGAGGTCAGGAAAGCTAGGCACAGGGTCGTCTGCTGCTACGTGTCAGGTCTAAATAAGAATGCAGCCTTAGCGATGACCTATGCGTCACACGGCCCTTCTCTTCCATGGAGTTCTAAGAGATCTTGGTCACCAGTGCCGTGTAACTGTCATTTGTCGGGTAAGCATGAGTGTGGCACTGCTCTCGAAAAGGGGAAACACAGACAGAGGCATTTATAGAAACGTGCCGAGTGACTAAGACAAGATGGTCCGGATAGCATGTAGTTAATTAATTTGCCTAAATCAAAATTCTGTTATTAAACGCAGGCTCAGTGACTCACCAAAGAAAGGACTGAGCTGTCCTTGTCTCCTTTCACTAATCTTTTCCTGTCTAAGAACCCAAGGGCATGGGAAGGAAGGCTCAATAAATTTTTATATGCAAAGCATTGCAAATCACTCCTGGTTATTTTAACAACACAGAGTAGGGGAATAGTTACCGGAGTCCAGACAAAACTTAATTGTAATAGACTGCTTTTAAAACTCATTGCACTTTTAAATACAAAACTTATCTTTCTTGTAAAGAAGTCATATTTTAAAAAATAAAATATACCTGCTGGCTGTCAGCTTGCTTTTATTTTCCTATTTTTTTTGTTAATGTAGAGATATGTGCATTTTTAAAAGAACCTGAAATTCTGAAGATTTATTGATTTGTTGTTTCCTGTAGCCAGAGCTGGCTTTGAATTCTGCATCTTTCTGCCTCCCACTCCTAAGAGCTGAGATTATAGGCATGTGTCACCACACTCCTTGAGGAAGAACATTTAATCTTAAGTAAATGTTTAAAAATTGTTTGGGGATGTTAAGAAAATAAACTAATAGGAAAAAAATTAAAAAGAAACACACACACAAAAAAAACCCCAAACTCCAATTCTTTCCCTACGAGGGATAGCTGTTGCTAAAATGTGGATGATGGTTCTTACTGATTAAGATGATAGCAAAAAACAAAAAGAAAAACAAACAAGCAAAAACCCCAAGCTACCTCATAGAGGCATATATATTTGAAAAGATTTATTTCAGAATAATTGTCACATACTAAATTTCAGATATTGGCAAGAGTTTCAGTTTGACGTCTGTGGAACCACCCGCTAATCCCAGATAATGACAACCCGTGTCACCTACTTCTGTATCTTTTTGCCTTTCCTAATTCTCGCTCTTGACACCCACTGATCTGCTTTACCTCACCCCACAGGTTACTTTGTGTTTCCTAGGCTCCTCTACACTGTAACCAACACCAAGCACAAAGTTTAGTTTCCTTCACTCCGAATGATAAAGTCTGTCTACGCTGGAGTATATATACAAAATACGATAGTTTATTTTTATTGCTGTGAAATGTTATAAAGATAAATTCCAATTTGTCTTACCTACTGACGAACAATTTGATTGGTTATAGTTTACGCTATTACAAAATCAAGCTGTGATTGACATGCCTGTAGAAGTCTTTGTGAGTTCACACGTCTTCTCTTGGGGAATTAAATTATACTAGAGTGGCCAGGTAATATGCCATGTGTTTCGCTGTTCACAAATCGCACAACTTTCCCCAAGGTTCTTATCTGGGGACACTCTCTTTTACATGTTGAGTCCAAGTTCCTACTGATGCTTGCTAACATCTGGCATCATCATTCACTTTGAAAAAAAAATTGACAGTTATTGTGATAGGCGTACACTAGCATTGTGTTTTTTATTTGTGTCTTTGAAATAAATGGCAGTGTGTTACCCTGTGGTTCTTTGCCATTATCTTAGATGAGATATGTGTAAGTATTTATCCCATTTACATATTAAGGCATTTTGTTTGTTTGCTCTGGGACTCTTGAATTTCTACTCTCTGCATCCTTTGCTCCTAGCACTATTTCTATTCACGACTTTTTAATGTTGCACTCACATTACCTCCTTATATCTCTTTTCTTTTCTTTTTTTCACAAAACAAGTCACATGATGTTTCTAGGTAAGTTTCTTAAATTGCTGATTTTTGATATTTCTAGTGTCCCCTAGGTAATTAGAAAGTTAAATAATTGTATGTAAGCACTTGTGAAACAGAACACTCAAGTGTTCTCTAACACATCTTATGGAATCCTCTTGTTTAGCTTTCCAAAATCCATCATTTTATATTATCCAGTAAGCAAATATTACTGTGATTAAAAGGAAAACTGAAGAGCCTCCTGTTTAGGTTACTAGAAACACTTCCCTGCATTATCGCACATTGCTATCAAGGATGAATAGTGGGAAATTAATTTTTCTGTGAGAATACCAAGTATGTAGTTTCATAATGACCTCACTCCTCTCAACTGAGCGTCTTAATATGTATCATGAATAAAAGTGGGTGCTTAAAGTCAGGAAGCTACTAGAACATGGGTGATATTTACCCAACAATCCCTCATGGGCTTCACATTTCTGGTCTCATTTTACTCTTCTTTCCTCCTAACTTTTGCCATTTGTGAAATGTAATTTCCTAATGAGAGATTATGAAAATGACTGTTTAGAGTGATATTAATACCAGCTTGCTGATGCTAGTTAGTGCTTCAGGAAAATTTATGCCATTCATTTAAGTGTTTAGCCCCAATATAGTAAAATACACTGTGAAAACAAGTGCTGTAAAAGATCTGTGAGCACAGCAATGCTCCAAATAGCGTGCATTCAGGCACAGCACACTAACGGGTCAAAATGTCTGTTTTCCATGGTAAAGTTTGTCATCCAATTAGTCAGAACTGGAAAATGTAAGAATGTACATGACAGATGTTACATTTATTTTTATAATATTTTGACTTCTAGGATTGTTAGTAAAATCAAGTTTATTTTTTTTTTAAACAATATACAGACTGAGACCCTTCCACACTGCTGCTCTCCAGACTTTCTTTCTTAGATTTTATGACTTCTTCTCTCCCTGGAGCACGTTTTAAACTTCTGTGCTTTTCTGGGGTTCTCTCCACAGCTTCACGTTCCTCTTCTCTTATTCCAAGTTCCTTCTCAACATTCTGTTATTATATAATAAAATCTTTCTCGAAAAAAAAAATAAAAAAAAACATCAAGGTCCTGAGATATAATGTTAGATATAAAATGGCAGAACAGATTGTTATTGGAAGTTGGCTTATGTATTAGCTTTTTCTTTATAAACATACACAAATTTGTTTTTAATTTTAAATAAAATATAATCACAAAAAATCTTTCTCATCCTTTGAAATTCCATCAAATCCAAGTATTTTTTAAAAAACATTTTGTATAACAGCATTCAGAATTGAATACCACTTTGTTGATGTCAAACAGTTCTTTATATTGAGAACTCATTGTGTTATAACTCCAGTGTACATGAATGTGTGTGTGTGTGTGTATGTGTGTGTAAGTGTGTTTTATAAGCAGAATTCGCTTTATTTTTTTTAAATTTCCCAGGCTCACCACAGTGTTTGATACACAATAAGAACACATAAAAAAATGTTTTTCAGTTGCCGAAATGAAATGGAACAAATTCACATATATCATTTCGGAATAGTTGAATATACTCACATAAACTGCTTTGGGAAATGTCTTTAACGTAATTTAAATTCTCTGAATTTTCATGGAAAGTCTCTGTAATTTGGTTAGGTTATATTCTAAAGGAACTCAATATTTGCCTTTTCCTCCTCTATACATATATTAACAATAAGCTCTTATTATCTGTATACGCATCCTTGCTCAATGGGAAATTAAAAACTTGAATGGATGTAAATTGTTTTGGTTAACTCCCGCTTTGATTTGTGCATAAGATTCAGTTTTCTGTTCGTTTCTGTAAAGCATTTTATTTTCTATAGTAAAAGCTTTGAGAATTTACTTAGCTTGGAAAAAGTCCTTTACATTCGTAGAAAGGGGGTAGATTCAGAAACAATGAGGAAAAGAAAAGAACAGCACCCCTACCCATTTGTAGTTGCATCTTCAATAACAATAGTTTCCTGTTTTTCTCATTTCCTTTAATCAAGACTTTTACCCAATAGATCAGTCACAGAAGCGGTTTAATTAATTATGCTGGGTTTTTTGAAATTACATATCAAAAGGCTTCCAAGACAAATTGAAGATGGAGATAAATCCATTGATGATTATTGTGGACCCCAAAACACAACCCTCATGTCAAAGGGATGAAAGATAGTTTATTCTGGAGCCAAACATGAGCGGGCATGGCAAAGGAACACAGATGTAGGTTACCTCAGATTCTATGTTCCAACGTAGAAGCAGTTCTGTGAAGTTTTCAGAGTAAAAGAACAATGTCAGTCATAAATCAAGGTACTTTTCAAACACATTGGTGGAAGCATTAAGAAGGTAGTTACAGCAGTGTGAAAAAACCCTCAGCTATTGGCCTTGGATCTGATGATTCAGTCTATCCATTGTTGCAGGCAAATGGATGAATCTAGAAAACATCATAGTCAGTGAGGGAACCCAGGCCCAGAAAGACAAATATCATATGTACTCAATCATAAGTGACTTGTAGATATAAAGCAAAGAAAAACCAGCCTACAATTCACAATCTCAGAGAACCTATACAACAAAGAGTATCCTAAGAGAGACATACATGGATCTAATCTACATGGGAAGTAGAAAAAGACAAGATCTCCTGAGTAAATTAGGAGCATGGGGACCGTGGGAGAGGGTAGAAGGGGAGGGGAGAGGAAGGAAGCAGAGTGGAGAAAAATATATAGCTCAATAAAAACAATTAAAAAAATAAAATTATGTGAGCTACTTAAAAAAGAAAACTAAAACTATGATTTTGTTAATACAGTCTGAAAGGTTTTGTCTGTTATTTCAGGATATTAAGTCTGATACAGAGTTGGGCGAATAATGACTATTTAGATGGATAAAAATAGTTCAAGACAAATTGTAATTAGATTCCAGACCTGCAGTATTCAAACTCTTTACAACTGTTGAAGCTCTAATTAGTTTTAATCAGTCTTGCAGAAAGTTTCA